ATCGCCCGCGTTTACAAGCTTGGCACGGACGAAGCGTTATGTATATCTTTCACTTAGTCGAACAGGCTGTGAAATTTTATTTAAGAAGAGATTTTACTGTTCACTGCGAGGAATTGCGAAGAATGATGTTGGAATAAGAAAATGATGAGAGTTGCATGCGAGGATTATAGAAGAATTATGTCCTTAATTAACAACTGAAGTGGATTCTAAATATTCTGGTAAATTTCTTGTAATAAGCAAAAATACTGTGATATCGTATAAGAAAAATTTCTGAACTTTTCATCCAGCGTGTACTGACGTATAATATTGAACGTATGAATTGATGGGGATAGCGGAAAATAAAAACGCAACGCGGAAGATGAGGAGACCGGTCGAAGGAAAGAGAGAAAAAGAGAGAGAAAAGGGAGGTCGGTTGTAGCAGATAAAGAGTTTGAAAGAGTTGGCCGTTTATCTGTAAAGGCCGGCATCCGCCGGATCAGCCTCAGATACCGAAACCACCCACACTTTCCTTCTGGTGCACGCGCTTAGGCTAACTTCCAAGAGCTGCTGACTTCCAGGGATCGCGAGTTCCGTCACGCGCCAACACAGTCACGGGACCTTTCGTACATTTATCGGTATAACGTTTTAATTATTTAACGTATCGCCCGTTTAGTCACTGGAGCAATATATACGTATTATTCGGTAATATTCGTATGCTTGGAACATTTGAGTATCACGATGCTACTCTGATATTATTTGAATACTTGACTATTCCAATAGTACCACGATATTATTAATACCTACAAAATATTCAAGTAGTCTCCTTCCTACTCGTCAGTAGAACCACGAAATAATTCACCCGCGAAGAAGCAAAGCTTCCAGTGATCGTTGAATTTGTATTCCAAGGACGCAGTTTGGAAAAACAGGAATTCCAACAGCCTCGTTCTTTAGGCTCGAGGCTTCGGGGCATAGCTTGATTCGATTTCGCGAGATTAGGCGGAATCGTCTTGGTGACTCGGTAATCCAAGACGAAGGGGAAACCTTAGGATCAAAGTCCCGGTCGTGCTGCGACTTATCTGCATAGCGTTCCTCTTCCGGAAGTCGAACGTTAGATTAGGTGTAAATTCTTGTCCCCGAGATCCAGCATGCGCCGGCCATGCTCGGGCTCGCGGAAAATCCGTACCGATGTGTAATATTATATTAATCCACGCAACGCTGCCGCGCATCATTTCGGATTAAGCAGAATTTCAAAACGCTTATGAATTTCGCTCGTAAATAACGAAATATTCTAATCGAATAATTTTGCGTATTCAATAAAAGCTGACGCAAATTGCTAGCGTCCTGTGAAGGTTCACGCGTATTTATATTTCTGTTGATTTACCTATGTATTTTCTACTTTCTACTATAATTCCACTGATACTTCCGTCCATACTTATTTATATTTCTGCTCAAAGTTTTATTGGTGTATTGGTTTGTCTACGTAGTACACCAATAACTATTTAATTATGGTATCATCTGCTGGAGAACAGAAGTCGAAGACGCGGAACGGAATTGTTCGGTAAAGATTTTTCGTCTCGTTCTGTGGCAACCCCATGCGCGACTAAAGAACCCATTATCACGACAGCGCGAAGAGGGTGATCACGGCGTGTCGAAAAATATGTTCCAACTTTTTATCTTGTATCTGCACCGCTGAACTTGGCAATGGGTGCAGGAACCAGTCCGTTAATTTATCGAGTGGGGCCTTCGTTAACTGTCCGAAGTACATTCAAAGGGAACTGACAGCTTAATATAATCGTGGTCGAATTAATTTTACAGAATAATATTTGTCGCGATAGGAAATACAGTAATATTCAAATACTTGAGTACTAAAGTATAATAAAATCCAAATCCTTGAATACTGAAATGCAGTAATATTCAAGTGTTTGAATATCAATGAAATACTCGACTACTAAACTACTACTAGACTAGTCGAATACCGAATGATTCGACTGTTACCCGCGTCATCTGCAAAGAAATACAGTGGATGGTTTAATGACGCGAAAGCGTAGCGGTTCTCATGAACGAAAGAAATCTATCAACGGAAGCCTCGGTTTCGCTTCTTCAAGGGTTGTCCTTAGGATGAATCTTATCTTGCAGCGAGAACTGTCAAAGAGGAACCGTCCTGACGCTTCCGTCGTACTTCCTTCGCAGCGTAAACGGGGAGATAACCAGACCACCCGATAGGGCCTGCACCAGAAATGAGAAATGTCTTTGCGGTTGTGGAGATTAAAGATTTCGCGGACGAGTGGTTGACACTTTTCTTCTCCTGCTTCTTTTTAACGTATCCAAGTCGGAGGAGGAACACATCTGACGGTTCATTAACGGTGCAATTCATAATCTTCATTCACGGACCGATACATCTGTTCCGCAATGTTGATACGATCGACATGTACGAATATTAATACATTTTATACGACGTGCAAGTATCGTTACACCAAGTACAAGATGCTTTTCACGTTTTTGTAGCCGAAGAGTATTCGATTATTTGACTGCCCCACAGTGTTATATATTCAAATAGTTGATTAGTTGAACTCTATTCAAACACTTCACTACTCAAAATCTCTTCAAACACTATTTAATTTCCACGATCTCTAATGAAAACAGCAAGTTCTCCAGATAAACTATCAATTATATCTCTCAACGAATATTCGCCATAGTAATGATAATTTGGCTAGACTACCAGATCTATAAAATAAATAAATAAAGTGGTCTCCATGACTCCAAAAATTGTATCGCGTTTTTAATAATAAGCTCGGCCTCCTGATTAATTTTTAAAGGTTCCTTAAAGGTCAACAACGACGGAATAAATAGATTTAAAGCGTTCAACAGTGCCGAAAGAAATACCAGAGCGTACTCGGGAGGGTTAGGCGAGGGATCTTTGCGCATCAAGGAACGTCGCTAATAAACAGACCGCATAATACGGTTTCCTGCGGCCAAATCTGCGGAGTAAAAGCCTACCTTGGACCAGCTGATCCCGGTACAGAGACGACGCCAGGGCCCGGGGCACCTTAATGAAAACTATACGTCTCTGGATTAAGGTGGCCACTGGTCAGCCTTCGGCCTCGCTAGGCACGACCTGTCTTATGCAACCTGGGGGCAGATCCTATGGTGACCAACGTATTAGATGGAAGTTTAGGGTATTAATACCTAATATAGCGCCACCGGCAGTAAATCCTTTGTTGGTCATCTTGCCGGGAGACTTAGCACCTCGCATCACCCGAGCATCGATAACGTCCTCTAACAGTTTACGCTATAACGCGTAAATCGTTTTGACATGCCAACGACGAATAAAGGAAATTATTCGCGATTATTTGACACGGACTAAATCATGGATGTTAATAGCACGGAGTATTCGAAGTTCTGTATGAAAACGAATTATATTTCAAGCCTATTCAAATATTGATCAAATATATTCAATTACTATTGAAATACGTTCGCTACACGACAGATTAAACAGTGACGCGATAAGATAACATTCAGTAAGACAAATTTATATATTTTCTTATTCTTACATAAATAAAATAGAACGAGCAAGTGACAGCATTCAGAGTGAAAAACGCAAGCGAACCTAGACACTTGATGAAACAATATCACCAAAATGTATTTATATGCAACACAATCGTCTGCACATGATCCGAAAGTCTCTCGTATCAACGATTCCCGACACAGAAGCGATCGTTAAGCCGCGAAGACACGTGTCCCACGGGGGCAAACACAAAACGCATGATTTACAGAGAGCTTTGAACAAGCAGATAGCGTTTCTTCTTCGATTACCAGACGCGGAGGATTTTTCGCTAATAAGTATTTCGCCGTTCCCCGGAATGGAATCGTCGAAACCAAGTTTACCCTTCCTTTCCTCCCTTCTTTCGTCCCGTCTCCCACCTCGTTCTCCATTTCCTCGGTTTCGCAGAAGTCTGGGATTATGACCTGGAGTGGGATAGACTCCGGGACTTAAGTCAGGGTTACACAAGGATCGCAGCTATTGTGCCACCGCCCGGCTCTTATTGTCTCGGGATAGACGAGTGGATCTGCATATGCTTAGCACGAGAGTTAGACTTCTCTCGACGATCTTCAGGCCCGCGAATCATCTGGACCCTCGAATTCAGATCGTGAAACGCGAAAGCGCGCACCTATTGTCAGTCGAATTGTGTAAAACCGGAACTAGCTTGATTCTTCGAGTGGTCTTAGGGTACACACCGCCCGCAGCGAATCCGTTTCGGCTTTAGGCGCGTTTTATGAACGTCGAATCGAACAATATAAATGATTTGAGGGATCGAAACGATTATCGTTGGGTCGGACGGGCTGTGCTTGAGAGGAAGAACGAAATAGAAGTGACTAAGTCGCGTTACTTTAGGATAGATTGCTGTGGTAGGGACTGTTTTGATATTTTAATCGAATAAAGTGTTTTCTGAACGGTGAAATTATTTACTCGTTAAGTGCGTCCTTTCTAATAATTCATTATTCTCGTAGTTGGCAGTGAATGGATTAAAAAAATAATAAAAGTTTCATAGAATGTAACACAGAAATATAATGTCGTTCATTTTTTTCATTATTGCAATCTATTCATAGCACTTTTGATGCTGGATAAGTAACGAATGAATTATTACCCTCGCTCGTATCTGAATCCGCTTGAATTAAATTTTGTATCTTGTTTCCTAGAATATAGGCATGAATGTGCAATCGATAAGACTTTATGTGATATGGCATAAGCTACTGTTCACCGCGTTTATTTGTTATCTGCTATTCAAATAAAATTTTGGGTATGACTCTGTTACAATATATACGTTTCCGCATAAATCTCATTCATGGCCAACGTTGGTTACTAGTCGAGTAAAACATTATTCAAATAATGATTTAGTCGAATAATGATATCCAGTTTTAATTCTAATTATTATCAAGAATGATATTCAGTTTATTTTTGTAAACTGTTAACAAGAGAATAACAGGATAAATGAATACGTACGTGCATACTTTTGTTACAGGAAAGAATCTCCCAGTGCATTGTGTTGTCGAAACGATTCACAACATAGTTGAGAGTCATGTGAGCAACTCCCGTGAGAATTGGCGGAGACCCCAAGTTGAAATGGACTCCTATGTTATCATCCCCGTGGCCATGCCTTTCCAAGTAAATATATTTTATTTCTGTGCAAGTCGTGCGAATCTTCAAAGAATTTCGTCTATTAACGTAACATGACAGACGTTGGTGCAACCACAAAATTGTGTTAAATACTATTGCGTTAATTGGGTATTTGGATATCAATGAATAACTGTACTACTCGAATAGTATTCAAATAATATCCTGACCACAAAGATCACCTATATTTCCAATCAAATAATGCTTCTCTTCGCAGGAATTAGTGGGCGAAGCACTGGTACGTCTTGGCTATTCGAGCGACCTGATACCGAGCGCCAGAGGAAGCATCGTCATACGAAACTGGAAACCATTGCCAATGGAGAAGGTCGCCGAAGGTCCTCTATTGACAGTGGGCGACATCCTGGCCGAACTGACGTCAGTGGCGACCCTGAAGATCGAGGTGTACAGATCGAGACCACCTCCGCCTAGTCCAGCTGCCGAAGTTAGAAATAAATTGTTAAGACTGCTGTTACTGCACAGTCATGCACTCCTCGTGTCAGCTGGTTGCCCCTTGGACGAGGTAAGTTTCATTAATATTTTTGTCGAGCAATTAACCTCAGGATCTACAAATCCACCCACTTGGCCTGTCATGTTTTGTTTTTTTTTTTTTTTTTTTTATTATTATTTTATTACTTTTTTCTGCTCAGCGATAATTCAATTACTCCTTTGGCTTCGATCGTCCCTTGGCGTTATCGAGACTTGAGTTTTTAGTGAGATCAGAGCGTAGATTCGATATTGGCGAAGAATCGATATTTAAAAGGAAGATTAAGATCGAGTAACCACGTTAAAGGGAGAAGTTTAAGGACGATTCGGGATCAAGCAACGAGGAGGAGTCCGCCGCCGTAAGATCGCTTAAAAATGTATAAAATGTAAATCTAACCAGAGAGTGTTTGTCGTCGGGGCACCTAATCTCATTAAGAAGTCCTCCCGCCAGCGCTTGTTCCTCCTTTGAAAACCACTGTGGTAATCTTTCGTGGACTCTTCCTCCCGAGTCGCTGATCTTCGACTTAAATAAATGTTTTCTCGGTTTCGAATCGCCGCGATGACATTTTCCCCCTCTTTTCTAACGTTACATGGCAAATGTAAACAAAGAAATAGAAAATATACAGCGAATCTCGGGACAATTCTTAAAATATACGAGCATTTTGCTGGAAAAGACTTTTGATACGTTCGAAAAAAAGAATGGTAATTTAACCCTGTTAGATGAATATCCCTCAAGAGACTTTTATCAAGGTTCCTGGCGAAAAGACGAAGTTAGAGAAACCGGTACCGTAAACTACCCCCTAACCACAAAGATTCCAACGTTGCGATGGATCCACGGAAATTTTTATTCGCCGCACCTGGCCAAGAACGAGATCATCCGCGAGGAAGATCCGTTTGGGTTTCGTTTCGCCGAAGATTTAAAGCAGCATCGTACGATTTCCTATGCGAGGGCATCACAGGCGTGCCCTTTCGACGGCAATGAAGATCTCATAGCGTATGATAGGATTACCCTTTACTCAACCAAATTCGCAGCCTTCATCAAAAGCCCCCTCGATATCGGAAGAAGGAGAAGGGCGACGAGGGGGCTGAAGGGGGGTTGTCCTCCCACCGTCCCGACCCCTCCCCCTGCGGGGCGGGTATTATCTAAGTGCACTCTCTTTGAAGATCCTGCTATACTTGCCCATCCCCGAACTTTAATGCCGCTCGCGGTGGTCTATGATTACCAATTTTCCCTGACAGACGTTTCCTGCTCGAGTTTCGGCCCGTCGGCTAATGGCGAACGGCTGTGATAGAGAACCGCCAGCTCGTGTACGTGCGACTTAATCTGTCGATCATTCGACGAAGACTATGCCGGTTCGTGGCAGCCGAACCTAACCGATTCACGATGTACCGGCGAATTTACATGATCGGACGCGATCCATTTGCCATCGTACCGTTTGACGCGCTTTGGTGGAAAATTAAAAGATTTGCCATTTCGGACTCAAGCTGATTTTAGTTGGCAGGCGGACTCAAGCTTCGCGCCCTTTCTTCTTTGGTGGGTCGAGAGTTACGATTTATTCTAGGAAAGTTAGCATTAGTGTCGTGTTAGATCGTAGACTCGTGTGGGATTGGATGCTCGGTTTATTTTTTGACGGTGCTCTGTCTGCGAAAGGTTGTGACATTTTAATTTAATTGCGTAATTGTATTACAGTGTAATTCAGTTAGGACAACTGTGCCTTGTTACTGTTCTTCGCGAAACATATTCGTACTTTTATCGTTCTATTTTCTTTTATTACTTTATTTTTCTGACACCCTCTCTAGAGATACTAGTAATCTTGTAAGGCCCGATGGGCCCGCAAGGAGCTCGAGTACCTCGGGTTCGCCAAACACGTACTGCAGTTGCAATCGAAGGCTACAGCACTCGAGGGTAAAAATGATAGACTCCTGCGAGGCGAAAAATTCTCAAAATTTGCGTAAATGATCCTAACTAAATGACCCAACTAGATATGTACGCGCTTGCATTATTACTTGCACTGATCATATCAGCGTTCACGTGTCTTAATAGGCATGCATAGCTTAAAGAAGCCCGTACTCGTCACAAACATAAAAGAGAACAGGTATCAAAAGCAACCCGAGTCAACAAATTCTCAAGGATCCCCGAAACACGACCTAGTAATATTCTGAAAACCTCGATAGAGTTTCTTCCTGTTTTCCCGGCCTTGTCTCCCCAACGAGTCTCTAATCCCCAATGATTCTGCTCGTTACGGAAAAGTCCGCGTTTAGAACGTCGTTGACAACACCGTGAATTCGTTGGAGCATGTTTGATCAGCTCTCGCCAACGACGATTGATTTACTGCCACCCCTCGCGGATGATCAGCTGATGCCACTGCGTCATCCGGCAATAATGCGTGGGCGTAAATCAGGCCTCGAATTACAAGCGGGAGATGTCGTTCAGATAAGCCCGGATGGCCCGTTTCTTTCTTTCGTCGTACTTTTCGAAACGATGTATACATATTTATCAAACGATTTCTCAAATCTCGCATAAACTGTCAGCCGCGTCTCCCGTCTCGCGGCGGCTGGCTGAATGATTAAGTGCCCGGTTGTAAAATTCACCGCGGGATGAGAAAATTTTCAGCGGTTGACAGGCCTGGGCCGGATCAACAATTGTTCTGCGTCGTATCTGGCGCTACCAAGGTGCCACGGATACGCGACGGATTACCGCGTTATTAAAGTGGCGACGAGCAGCTTGATCCCGCGCGGGCGGTGATGTTTGTTCTTGTAAATCATCGTCCAGATAACGCGCACGTTTCTCGTAAACCTCGTACTATTTCCTACGAGTCTAAACTTTTCCGTAATCTGACGCCTTAATGCCTGCGGGAGACGAGCCGTTTCTGTCGCAACGTCTTCGTTTGTCGCGTTTAATTGTTAAGGAGAATTCAGATTACGGGTTGCTTCATGGCTGGAGAATTCGGGAAGAATTAGAATATTTGGAGATTAAGAGGAATGATGGAAGATCGGTAATCGGGGATATTATTAGGAAGATTATACGTACATTTCGTGTAGTGGCGAGTTTTTCTTTGCGAAATTGTCTTCTTGAATGAGAAAAAATAAATTTGATTTCTACAAAATAAAAATTGATATTGTCTCCTTGAGAAGGAAGAATAAAAATTGTCTTCTTGAAAAAGACGAACTAAATTTGTCTCCTTGAAAAAGAAGAAATTAATTATATAGAATTCAGTCCCGAGTGAAATAATTCTACACTAAATTCAACGAACTGAAACGTCGGTGGGTTTATCGTTAACAAAATCTTCTCTCCATTTTTGTTCCAGCTGATAGCGTCGACCATCGATCACTTCCATGAGAAAATCAATTTTTGTTGACCCCCTTGCCACCTGTTCAAAAATTCTAATTAGGCCCCTATTAATCGTGCCCCGAAAAGAATTCTAAAATAAACATTAAATTAATTTTTCCATTCACGAACAAGACACCCCTTGGACGTGCAGACCTAACCCCCTTAAGGACGACGAATCGCCGCAGCTCGTTGGAGAACGATCCTCTCGGTATTCAAGCGCCATGTATTGTTTGCGTTTCAGATGACATTGTTATCTCTATGTAGAGGTGGGAACGAGTTGTCGGAGGAGACCAAGCGGAACTTCGAGTCGTGGCTGCAACAGCAACAGTTGGGTTTGGGTCTGAACCCAATCGTGCCTTCCTCGAATCACCATCATCATCATCACACGCAGAGCGCCCAGCCGGACGGCGGGAGCACCATAGAATCCGCAGGCAGCGCTATCGGTCCCCCTCACCCTGCGATGCTCCAATACTCCCACAAAACTAGAATGAGGACTAGTTTCGACCCTGAGCTAGAATTGCCGCGTCTTCAACGATGGTTCGGCGAGAATCAGCACCCTTCGCGCCAGCAGATACAGCATTACGTCTCGGAGTTGAATGCCCTGGAGTCTCGTCGAGGCAGGAAGCCTTTGGACGTGAACAATGTCGTCTACTGGTTCAAAAACGCCAGGGCTGCCCAGAAGAGGGCTGAGAACAGGGGTGTAAATGGCTACAGCCCCCCGGGACTCAGCCCTAGAGGCGCCAGCGTCGTTAGCGAGGATTGCACTGACGAAGAAGAGGACTCCAGACATCAGGTGTGTCTCGAAATCATTGATGAAGACTACAAGTTCATACAATTTCTTGCTCTAGTAAATATGACGTCTATGCCTAGTGACCTGGTCAACCCTATGATGGTGGGCCTTGATACTACTATCCTATAGTATAGACTTCCAGACAAATTTACCACTTACAAATAATATAAATAAATAATGAATAGTTTAACCTGACAATTCAAGTACTCATTTTTACATTCCAGTCAACCTCGCCATCTCCCTGCCCACCAGGAAGCCCTCCAGTCGGCCCACTGTCGTTGACGACCAGACCCGAAGATCAGCAACCGCCACCGTCGACGCCGTCCTCGGTGAAGCAGGAGGACGCCAGAGTATCCTCCGGCTCCGAGGACGAGGAGGCCAGGCCCACCGGCCCCCTGCCGCCAGGATTCTCTTTGGTGCCCAGTCCGATGTTTGGCCACGGGATTATGTACATGTCACCTTATTTGCCGCCACGCGGACCGGCTGGCTGCTCCACCAGCATGCTAGATGAAAGGAGGAAGAGAAACCGGACATTCATCGATCCGGTGACGGAAGTGCCGAGGCTCGAGGCTTGGTTCACCCACAATACTCATCCCAGTCACGCGGTAAGTTGAACGTTGGAACTTTTAACTATCGGCGCGTTAATTTGCCAACGTTGACGTCGGTGGCGGTGCGAGCAATTTCCTATGGAAAATAACCCAGAAGATACAGTATATATTGTAATAATAGATAATAATTCGTTAGCGAGTAATGGGGGACTTTCTATTATGGGAGTGGTGAAGGTTCATAATTTTATGTTGACGTAATAATTATTTTTATCGAGGCCTGGTCAAGGGTGTAGATCTTCCGTGTTCTCATACTTTGCTGTAATTTATTTATTTAATATCTCCGATTGCAGTACGTTCGATGTTTGTCATCATTTTCCATCCATTTTTACCTCGGCTACTAGAATATTGATTTTTAAAGAACTAGATTAAATCTATTCAATCTATTGATTTTACGTCTTCGTCCTTCCATTACATTATTATTGATCTATTCCCCTGCATGAACATCCTCCAATCATGATTAATGTATCATAAATTAAGTTGCTTAGAAGACTCCGTCTGCTTAATTCACAGCTAATTCTGAAATACACAGAGGAGCTGAACCGGATGCCGTATCGACAGAAGTTCCCGCGTTTGGAGCCGAAAAACGTGCAATTCTGGTTCAAGAACCGTCGCGCCAAGTGCAAGCGCCTGAAAATGGCCCTGTTCGAGGGCGAATCGCCGCAACCGCATCCGTATCACGCAGACTAGCTTCCCGCTCCCTCAAGTAACGTAAATTAGAAGCAACCGTGAAGCCAGAATGCATTACGACCATGTACCGCAAACACGAGACGAGGACGAAGGAGGAGAAGTAAACATCGTTAATCGACCTGTTATTCCTTAATATCGTTGACTTGTAAACCACGCACGACGGGTTGCAGATTTATTGTAATTATTGCATAACGATTAATATAATTATTATGGACCTTGATGAATGTACATATGAGAATAACGTCGAATAAAAACTATACGTCACGATATGAAGTGTCTTCGATCCTACCTCCTATATGATTTATGTTGTCGTGCTTTCGTGTTGTAAACAATTTCTAATCATTTTTATTTATCATACTCACAATATTTATTTCAAATTTGTGATTCTATTTTTACCTAGAAGAGCTGAGAAGTAGTTGAAAATAATTATTCCGTTTTATATATAATTGATACAGTTTGTTCTTTTTTTTTTTTTTTTTTTTTTTTTTTTTTTTTTTTTTTTTTTTTTTGAATAAGTAAATCTGATTTAGATTATTTTTCATTGCATATAAGGTAAGCATATCCTAATTTATCGATACTCTCATTAACAATCGTCACTTTCGATATTAATTATCTACGTATATCAAAGTATGAGAAGATACAACACCTTTACAATAAAATAGTACTTTTGGTTTTTTCTGTAAGAACACTAGTTAATCTTTTTCATTCCTAAAAAAGGAGACATCAATGTCTTATTTCTAAATTAATCTCTCAAATAAATTCTGTAAGTTTCCTATTCCTTAATAAAACAAATTGCAACTTGAACGTTTTATTTGCTCTCCTCCATTAAATACAGGACCCCCCAAAATTGCAGTTTGTCTGGGGTCCCATAAAATTACCCTACACTCCCATCTGCACCCTAACGATACATACAGCGTAGCCCAGTATCGATAACCACCCTATACATTCGCGTCATAAAAGTAAAGGAGCACAAAACCGAAAAGTATAGAATTCTGGTAGAGTTTCCACAAGCCGGTATCAACGGAGGATCTCGTCCACGATTTCGCGTAGAATTGAACACGATACACCGTCGAGCGCGATATTCCTATGCATATTCAGATGCTAAATAGGCATGATACGTCTGCTCGTGTGAGTAACAGTAGAAATACGTGATACTGTCTCGCCAAGTCTGGAGAAGCGCGGCCTGGCGAGTCGAAATCTCGCACTAAGATAAGACCGTCGCATTTGTTGTCGAGTCAACCCTAACTCAACCGTCACAATAGTCAATGAGTCCTTTCCTAAAGGAGCCGAAGGACGTGTCGCTTACGCGGACGGGGAAGTTATCAGCGTTCGTGTCTCAAAATCTATGTGTAACACAATCAGCCGAAAACGTTCGCTGAGATAAACAACACGAAAATAATTAATTTCGGAATAATTGGAATATCTTCCCTACAAAAGAAGAAAATAAATATTAATTTCTCAAACACTACACCCTAACAGAATTAAAATAAACATTTAACTGTGCATACATTATTTCTCCCAAACGAAACTACCATGCGCGAGATAATTAAAACGAAATTGAATATTTATCGTTGAGTCGTGTCGTGCCAACCGAATGATGTCAAGACTCCCAACTTCAATCGAGGATGTCACGAGGAAAACGAAGGGGGTCGTCCTTGTCATCCAGCGAGATACACGGACGTCGTCGAGGAGATTGTACCGAAGTCGGGCTGGATTTAATGAGGATAGGCGGATTTGTCCAATTAAAGTGTCTCGCAAAGATCCACGCGGGTCCACGGTCGTTCATTCGCAAAACATCGAATTTCGACTTCGACGACCGTTTCTTATCCCGGTCTATACGAGAACAAACCGGAACTGTTATCCCTTTTGTTGTCGTTATCGAGCCTCTCGAGTCGAGCCATCTTTCAGGGGGTGGGGAGGACTTAGGGGGCTTTTCTAAAAATTTCAATTGTCCTCGCAATGTCATCTGAATCGTTTATGGCGCGAATTAAATCTCTCTAGAAGCTTGGAAACTTTTGTTCTTTATTAATATAAATATTTACACTTTCGAATATAAGCAAAATGTTTAATTATTGGGACTGTTATCTGTACGTAAAGTGTATCTAAATAAAACTAGTTAAAATAAAATACACACCCTAGAAAGACAACACATCAGTTTTACCAGAAACAATATTTCAATTTACATGGAACAAACTAACCGTGTAACATAGAGGCTCACTTTCGGTAGCTTGCATGATTTTCGACTGATTGACAGGACGGTTTGCATTTCGCCTAGGAAACTTGTGTTTAACGAAATTCAGAAAAAAAGAATTCGTTGTTGGAGGAAAGAAAGGCGGTCTGGTTGAACGGATAAGGAAATTGAGCTCGATGAGGACAGAGGGAAATGTAAGAGGGCGGGTAGGGTGGCAGGCCGATGCCTTATGAAAATCTAAAAGTCAGCAGCCTCGAGGATCATCCTTCTATCTGATCTTAATTTGTCAGCCAGCACGGGACCAATTTCGACCACACCCTCGCTAGTAAATCGTTATGAGAAATGCTTCACTCTGCCCTCTTTCTCTTCGTTTCTTAACGCTCGGTTATTCCAGTTCAAACTAACCAACCTTGGCATAATTTATCGCGTAAAAATGTCCGTTATTCGATTTCTTCGTAGCGATGCTATATTAATAGCTATTGCACGTACCCTCCATAAATACAACGTAAGTAATTACTATAAAAATTGTTGTTGCTAACAAACTAATTGTTGTTCTATTTTAACTGTGTATTTAGTAACAATTAATATTGTGCTTCGGGGTGTGCATGCAGCCCGAACGAAAGGTTAATTACCAGCGATATTTTCATTTTCACGGCGAATCGATGAAATCAGCGAAACGGTCGCCGTGTCCAGGAAACGTGCACGACGAATTCTGCGTCGATGAAAGAAAATTCGGGATTCCAGGACGTTTCGACGCGACACGCACTAAACTCTGGCCCCTGGCGCGATTGTGCGCTAGGAAAGTAACCGCGAGACGTGGGTACACGTCGTTCCAAAGGAGCATTGTGCGCGCTTCGGCATTCAGAGGACGTTCTTATCTGCCTATCCGGAGAGCTGTCAGCAAAGTTCCTGAATAATAACGGGGAACAAGACAGAGAGATCGAGGGAAAGAGAAAACGCGGAGCCACGCCGTTGCTCCTATCAGCCGCGGTTAGGATATGCCTAACTATTCTGTTTCCATGCAGCTGCCGGACGTTTCGTCGTAGATAATGTTGTCCAGGACGGTTAGATCGCTGGAAGCGATCACTGCCTGCGGTAAAAGTGTCCTAATACTGTTTCGCGGTGAATCTTACGCCTCCGCCTCCCTCCTGTACCCCGCAGCCACGGAATAATGAGCATGGAGAATTGGGACACGAGTCGGGAATCGATAGTCCCCTTGTTCCCCTGAAAATATTTATACGTCATGCTTTTTTTTCAGACCATTTATTGGCAACGAAATTCCACTAGGTGCCGAAATTAATTCCGTGTTTTTCTATTCAATCATTTGTAAGTGAAACTATTGAATTAGAAATCGTCTAAGTCTCAATCTGACGATCGCTAAAATGTACCTACATTTGTACGAAGTGTAACGGCTAACAAATTTTGCTTATTGTTCTTTTAACAGATTGATTCCGTGTCTTTACATTCAGTTATTTATATCCCTAGTTTAAACAAAAATATTTAGAATTTCAGCCGCAATGCGATGTTATACGATTTTGTTTAGCCGTTGTCCTTTTATTTAAATTTCTTTATAAGTTGAAAATATTTGTAGTTGTATTACTTATACTAAAAATGTCGTGATCGCCAAGTACGTTTCCATAGTTACTCACTGACGACGTCGACGAACCGAGAGCTACTAGACACGACTTCTCTCCGCTTCCATGACAGCGAAGCGCAAGAGCGGAAGGACAAAGAAAACAACGTCGAAGCGGGTAAAAGGCAAATGATTAGGCCGGTTAAGACGAAGTCGCAGAACGCTGGAGGGAGAATTCGAGAGCTCGCAAATTAGCCGCAGGATTGGCCTTATAATCCTTAAGGGATGGGCGAGGTCGGCGACGCAGCCACTCTCTCTCTCTCTTCGTCCCTCGCTCTCCCTTCGCTTATCCCTAATCTTCGTCCTTCTTTGCCCCGATGAGGTAGTAGATGAGGTCATATAAACGAGGCCTGACCCCCCGCCCCCTTCCTTATTCTTTAATCCCACCCCAACTGCCTCGGTAGCCGTGGAAAAAATTACGAGGAGAGAGAGAGAGATAGGTTGAAGAGCAGCGATTGAAAGTAACGAGCTATGGTAGGAAGATCAACGAGAAGACCTTTCCCCAAGTCCGTTTAATCCTAAGGTCGGATAATTAATCCCGTTAATTTATCGACAATCGCCTAACGCCCTGACCACACGTGAGGGGAGGACAAATATTTTTCTTGGGGGATAGTTACTCGAACTATCTAAATTTAAGATATCAACCACCATCCAACTGTAGAAGTCAATATACACACTCACACACACACATCCTGAAAAACATTAATCCAGGTTCCCAAAATTTCTATGATACTTCGATAAGTTCAAGATGTTCTCTTACCAGTTATTTTTCAACTCTCGCTATCATCCAGCTTCAGTCTTTCAATTTCAACCACCAACCATCACCAGGGATCTGCGGACCACACCCCTAGAAACGCTGCTCCACACCCTCCTACATAACTTTCATCATTCCCAGGTTCCAGGATCTCCGTTTATCCTTCAATTCCAATCGTCATAGACACCTTCGCTCGATTTATTCATCTCGCGTTGATGCATAAGTGGTCACACGACGCGGTAGGTGTAAGGGGCACGGGATGTTGGTGTTCGGTCGATCTTAATACTGTCTTAAGCCCACCAGAGCACAACATAAATTATGTATCGTCTCGGCGTAAGATGCCCCCAAGATCCCAGGAGCACCTGGTATTCCTACTTCGGCTCACGGTTTCTCTAAGACTTCCTCCGCCTCCATCTTTACCCCTCCGTCTCGGTGGCAGTTTATACGTCCCTGCAGCGCCGCCACCTTGCGCGGGGGTCCCTAAATTTTCTCCAAGTCTATAAGGGTTAAGGAATTAACTGCGGCTGGTAGCCGGACTGCTGCGAGCCTACGGGGTTCTGATACGACTCCGTTGCAGGGTGGTTGCCTCTGGGAGCTTAATAGCTCGTGCGAGGGGATAGCAAGAGGGGGGTGGTGGAGTGAGGCGGGAGTACGGGGGGGGGGGAGGGCACCGGGATCTTCGCCGAAAGCCATTACAAGGATTTCTTTTATTTACGGTCGCGAAAAGAGCTCCTTTGCTGGCCGGGCTAAGTGGTATGATCTTCTCTCCTCGTGACTCTTCTTCTACGATAGATCTTGGCCAATGACCGACTAAGCGGCCACTTTTGGAGGCTTAATGTTCTGTCCGATCGTGTAATATTTGGCTATAGATCAATTAAGAGACGGGGGCGGCTTTACCGCTACCGGCGGGGATCGTT